CGCCCCGCCCCGCCCCGCAGGAGTCTTCCGGCCGGCTGGCTCCTCCCCTCGAGCGCTTGGTGGTGTTCTCCCATGGCCTCTGGGAACTCTCCCAGTATCTGATCGAGCGTTTTCCTTGCAGTGTTTTGTTCCTGTTTCAGAAGTTCTGTCTTCTTGCACCGCTCAGATTCCTGGCAAGTGCAGGCTGTGTTTTGTTGGGCTAGGCAGGTGCTGGCCTTTGGGGGCTCTGGGTGCCCTCTCGCCGGCTTCTAACCAGTGAGCCTTTTCATCTGCAGAGAGGAGGACAGAATTTGGCTGCCTAGAGCTGGTCTCAGCCCCGAGGAAAGATTGTGGAGAGCGGGGATTAGGTGCTAGACAAATAGTTGTCCAAACCGGGCGTGGTGGCGCACGCATGTAATGCCAGCACTCGGGAGGCTGAGGCAGGAGGATGGTTGCGAGTTCCAGGCCAGCCTGGGCTACAAAGTGAGCTCAAGGCCAGCCTGAACGGCATAGCGAGACCCTGTCTTTAAAAAAAAAAAAAAAGTTGTTTAACTTACCGAGAAAAACTGTAGAAGCAACTGAAGACCTCAAATTTGAGGAAATTTTTCTGTCGGTTTCCGCAGGTGATGTTTATTGAGTTCTGTGTGTACAGCTGTGAACCAAGAGCTTTTGAAAATCTTTAGAAATCTTGTGAGGTCTCTTATACTGTTCTTATTTTACAGATGAGTAAACTAAATCACAGGTAAAGAAGGAAAACCTTGTTCCCAGTCTAACTCCAGTGGAAGAGTTCTTAAATACATAATATGCTTAGTGTACAGAATCAAGTACTACTAAGAACTGAGTCTGTTATCAGTGGGTATTGTTCTTTCTTAAAAAAAAAAAAGAATACATTTACTCACGTTTGAAGCACGTTGAATGTTACGAGTTAGGAAGGGCTTAGCTTAGGTGAGGTGTGAGAAACGTGAGGCCTTTGTACGATTTTAGGTGTCTTAGTCCTTTTGACCTGCCCGAACAAATTCCTCTAAACTAGATTGCTAATGAACAGTAGGAATCTGGTTCCCACAGTTTGTGTAGCATCCAAAACCAAGATGCTAGTGGAGTCTGTCTGGTGGGGGCGGAGTTCTGGTTTGGAGCTGGCGCCTTCTAGCTGTGTCCTCGCTAGTGGAGAGGGTAGAGGCGCTTCCACCTACTTCATAAAGGTTAACTCATCCACTGATCACCTCCTAAAAAGACACCTGCTACTAATACCACTACTTTGAGGGCTAGGATTTCAAAATCTGAATTTTGAGGGGTGTCTTAGTTACTTTTCTTGTTGTTGCTGAGACAAAATAATGTCTAAAATTAAGGAAGGAAAGGTTTAGTTAGCTCACAGTTTGTGGAGGTTTTAGTCTGTCCTCAGCTGGCTCTGAGGCAGGGCGACAGGGCACAGGGGCAGTAGTCTAAGGCAGCTGAAAACAGCAAAAGCAACCCGAGCAAAAGGGAGAAGCAAGCCTCTTTTTCTCCCTTATATTGTATGCAGGCTCTCTGCACTGGAGGGGGCGGTCTTTTACACCCACACCATCTCTAGACCTTCCTCTTGCCCAGGTAATTACAGAATAAAGACCCTGGATCCCTGCTGAGTCACATAGTTAACCTTTTAAAATTTTAAATTAACACAATAAACACCCTAGCGCAAAAAGGGCATGTTCTTTTTACCCCAGTATACAAAACTGCTGAGTTATTTAGGTAAGCTTTTAGACTTCTCAAGTTGACACAACGTATCAACCATAAGGAGGGGACACACTTGTACTGTATTAGTGGGTGTAGATTTTCTATATGTGCCCTTTCTTGGCCCTACCCTGATTTTGCAGTAATCTGAATGAGTCAGTCTTAATCTACCAAGAACTGGCCTGTGTTTTGAACTTGTCTCTCAAGAGAATAAAATGCACTTTGAGTTTTTTGCTTAAGAATTCACTTATTTACTCTAATATGCCACCCTCTTTGTTCTGTGAAAATGCCCATGTGTAATAAACAAACATTAATTAGGCAGATATTTTCTCTATTTTGATTCGTGTGTGCCCTACCGTTCACAGCTTTTCACTTATTTGGCTTTATTGAATTTTTTTTTTTGGTGGTACCAGGAATCAAACTCACGACCTTGCGCTTGCCAGGCAGGTGCTGTGCCACTGAGCTAAATCCCCAGTCCCCTGGCTTTATTGAATCTTAAGTTCACTTTCACCTTTCCCTCTACCTTTCATCACCTGAATAAAGATGATGCCAACAAATGAGCTGCCCTACCAAATTACCCTAACAAGCTGCCCTACCAACCTACAAAACAGGACCTAGGTAAAAGATTTGGTCTTGTGCTGTCCAGAGCGTTAAGAGGCACCCCTCATGCTCTGGATGTACTTGTATAATTTTAGAGTACTGTAATCATCTTCACATGATGTGGATCCTATCTCCCTGAAACTTAGGACATAAAAGATTAAAAGACTTGCAGAAATAACAAAGGGATGGTGCATTTTGTTAAGAGTATTTTGGGGCTCAAGGGGAAGTTCATATATTTAAACTGAACTGAAAAGCAACACACATTTTGAGTATTTTATTTCTAGTGCCATAGTGTTTGAACTGTGGTTCACCATGAATAACCCATCTGACAAGCTTAGAAAGAAACACATCTAAGCATAACTTAATAGAAAAGGCAAATGACAATATTGTTTTCAAAACTGTATCCTCTGGTCTTTGTGAATGGTGCCTATTCCTTTATCAAAATTTCTATTTGTTTTCTTTAATTAAGCTAAGTATCTTTATTTTCTCTTCTTTTACAGGTAGTTCTGCTATGTCTACCTTTCAGTGTCTAACTCTTGTTGACAATATTTGCTAACTTTTACTCATAGTGATTTATATCCTCCTATATTACTCTTCGTAGGGCTGTTTTGCTTATGGCAATCTCTTATGCCCTGAGTTGAGAGTATCTTTTCAGAGCAATTAAACATTCCTCGAAGTTCTCTGCCTCTTAAAGATCCTGGAATGTTTTTAAGTGATAATTTCTCTGGTTCCGAGTTCCTGAATGATGTGGGTATTGTAAATTCACGTAGAGTTTTGTTTTCTCACAGGTCCTGTTAGGATGTGCCCTCTACTCAAAGCCCCAGGCAATGCATAAGTTTTCTTGCCTCTTCCCCAAGCTAGTACACAGTATTTCTCCAGTACCAGTGGCCGGCAGTTCTTCAGTGCGCTAAGAGTTTTTCTGTTTCACCAAAGCGCAAGGTCTTGTGCTTGGGCTTTAAAACCTAGCTGTCAGGGGGCTGGAGGTGTACAGATTGAGCCTCTGATTATTTTTGGATTCAATTCCCAGCAGCAAAATAAAACAAAAGCAAACAAATAAAAAACTAGCTACTAGCTCACGTTGGAGGCTGTCTTCTGCTTTTTCATGAACATCGGAGATCTTTGTTTTGCTCCTGTGGAGCCTTGCCTGCTAGGATCACTCACGGTGATCCTCCTGCCTCAGCCTCCCAAGTGCTAGGAAGGCTGCTCTTGAACTCACTCACTTTGAGGCAGACTTCAAATTTACAGTAGTCTTCCTACCTCACCTTTCCAAATGCTGGGTTCACAGGCATGTGCCACCAGACCTGGCATTTCGTGCTTCAACAAGAGTTCTTAGCTGACAGTCTCTGCCCTCTGTAAAGGTATCTTTCTATATCAGAAATATAATACCTCTTCCGTTATCGGCTAGCTTGCTTCTAAAAAGCTGGTCATCAACAAAACATTACTGGGTTTGGGACTGCTCACCTGTCCTTCTGGAGTTGGATTCTAGATTTTTCTCATCTCAAATAAAGAATTGACTGAAGCAAGCAAAAAAGCAGGGGCAAAGTTTATTCCAGAAAGTAAAAGTGAAGAGTGGGAGAGAAACTGGCTCTGCAGAGGGAGCTCGGGCTGAGTGAATAGAAAAAGAGGGGAACAGCAAAGATAAAAGTACACACTGTGTCTGGCAAACAGCCTGGGCTGCCGTGGACAGTTATGCTAGCAAGCTCGTAATGGCTCACCTCACCTTTTATGCTGTCCAAATTTCAAGGAAATCCCCCAAAACTTGTACATATGGGTCCTAAGATGTGTTGCTGGGATCTTGTGTCTCAGTCTGACATCAAGTCTAAGCCATTGTATTAAAACCCTGCTAGCATTCTTAGAAGTCCCGCTGCGGGGCTTTGGACCTGTTCAGCACATGTGTCCTGGATCTTGTAGTTAACAAGTCACAGTCCCTTCCCCAGTCTATCTCCTGTCTCATTCCCTGTGTATGAACCCTTACTAAAAATTCCAGATGAAAGCTGGGCGTGGTGACCCACACACCTCTTACCTCAGTACTCTGCGCCGCTGTGGTAAAGGGATGGTGAGCTTGAGCTCAACCCAGCAGATTCTGTGAGACCCTGTCTCAAAATTAAGAAAAGACTGGGGGTGTAGCTCAGTGTGAAGAAGCTGGTTTCAGCCCCCAGTATAACCCCAGTTCTTTACGGAACTAATTACAACCTCTTTAAGGCATGTCTGGCTTTGCATGATTGTTCTCAAACTTTTTTCCAGATTCATCCATTATTTTCTACTTTAGATGACCATTATTTTTGTTCACTACTGTGAACCAAGCACCAACCAATGATACGACCTAAATATTCAATAACTTGTTAATGGACAGATGAGTTAATGAATCCCATAGATATTTGTAGAATGCCAGC